TACAAGTAATAATGTATTTTTATTTTATTTAAAATGATAATGTTCCTTTAAAATTGTAGAGCATTTTCTTAGAATATAGTTTTATTTCTCAACTAGTTTTCAGTTCTTCAAGCAGTTATTCATCCAAAGACTCTGTAAGTGACGAAGAGTTTCAGTTACCGTGTATTCAGAAATATTCGAGGAATCACATAACAAAAACATACTATTGAAAATTTCCAAAAGAGACAAGTTAGTACAAAGGTTTTTTTGCTCTTAATTACACGTTGCAAATTGTCTCAGTTGCTGTTAACTGGATATTAAAAAAAGCATTTTATTTGGCTAGTTTGCTTATCAAGTAGTTAAAAATGGCTTCGATAGAAAAAGTAATAATTTATTTTCAATTATTTATTCCCATTTCAATAAAATAAATTTAAAACTAAAGATTTTTAGTAAACAGAGCACAAGATGAAAAGTAGGAAAACTAATAACTCTTGAACTAATGGTGAGATATTAGCACACTTAGATTTGATATAATATTTTATGAGACTAACTTTTAATATCCTAATAAATTAAGTGCAGATGATATTTTAAAATCATACTCCAAATCGGAATTTTACTTTTTAATGATATTTAGTTTATTTAATTTTCTATTTTTTATGATATTTTAATGCTCAATTAAATATATATCTGATTTATTACTATCAACTGTATTTGCCTAAATATCTTTTTTTTCACTATCCCTTTATAGCATTTATAAATTTAAGGGTCACATTATTTATTTTTTGCATCGCACACTAATATAATATTTGTGACACTTACAAAAACAATGTTTATATCAATTTGCAGGGAAAGAAAATGCAGAGCAATATCAAACATTTAGCATCTCTTAAATTTCTATATTTCAATAAGTTGCTGCTTTTGACGAAGTTGACAATGGCAGCCAAACTTGTTTGCAGGTGAAAAGTTCAAAATATGCTTTTCGATATTCGGCACTCGAGGTCCTATTTTAGCATACTTAGATGTGATTTAAATATTTTATGAGACTAACTTTAAATAAACTTATAAATTAGTGCAGATGATATTTAAAAATTGTACTCAAAATTGTTTTTTAACTTTTTGAAGATACCTAAATTATTTAATTTTCTATTTTTTAATTTTTCATCATTTTTTTTAAAATTTTAATTAAATATATATCTGAATTATTCTTATTATCAACAGGATTTGTTTAAATATCTTTATTTTCACTGTCCCTTTCCAGCATTTCTATATTTAAGGGTTACAAAAATTAGTTTGGGCATTGTACACTAATAATACACTTTTGACACTTATAACAATAATGTTTACACAAATTTGCTTAAATAAAAAAATTATGGAGCATTATTGAACATTTATCATCTATGAAGTTGCTGTATTATTTGAAGAAGTTGACAATGATTATTTGCAAGTGAAAAGTTCAAAATATGCTTTTCGGAATTCAGCACACATAGCGACGTATATCATGGGATTGATCACATTTGATAAGTTGAGTCCCAAGAAGGACAACGCAGTAAGAGTAGGGATTTTTGCTTTACTGTCAAAAAAATGAATAATAGTCATTGGAAAGTAACAAATCAGGAAAGCAGCAATGACGACTAGCATCACTTTCATGATTTTCATTTCTTTATCGTCAACGCGATGTGGAAAACACCCATTTTGAAAATCTTCAGTCGTAACAAATACATTGCAATGCTTTCTCACTTGTTGAGATATCTTATAAGTGACCCAAAGAATTCTCGAATAGCAAACTACAAAAAGCGTGGCTGGAAATGCAAAGAAGTGTATAAAAAAGAAAATTGGAACTGTTATTCCATAATGTCTCAAAAGGATACAGAGTCCGCTGTTAGGTTCGTAACCATATGTTCCAACAAGTCCAAAGAATGGTAAAATTGAATGAATAAAAGAATACATCCACGTAAAAGCTATATGCAATACTAAATATTTCTTTCTGTATATCAAACGATAATACTTTGGGTAAATTATACAGATATATCGATTAATCGTAATTCCAATCATTAAGTAAAACGATTCTCCAATGACAAAAAATTTTGCCCATGTTATCGAAAGGCAAAAAGTGTGGTTGCGGTTCCAATCAGGCCTGCAGTAATTTATTATTGTGATGATGCAAAAAAGCAAATCGGCAGTGCATAAAGTTATAACAAATGCATCGGTTGGTCCTCGATGCTTCTTCGATTTTTTCAAGGCAAGAATCGATACTGAATTCCCAAATATTCCGAGAGACGAAATTATGAGAAAGACAACTTGAGCAATTACGGGTTCTTCCTGCTTATCAGATCTATCTTGTTCTTGGTTCATGTCCAAAGTATCATTATCCAATGAATTGTTTCGGAAAGGGAAAAAGATTTCTGGAAGTGAAGTGTTCATTTCCTTCTGAATAAACCTAAAATTTATATAAAATTTGTATAAGAATCCTATTGGAGAAAAATCGAGAAAATTAAGAATTTTATCTACATAAACTGTATCCATATTCTCAACACACAATTTAAATATTATGACACATTATTGTGGTTGATTAGTTATTCTTTGCAAAATATCAATTTTCAACTTTCAATTTTCGAAATTTTGTCGGTTTCAATGGAATAGTTTTTTTGAGAAATGCTTCATGCGAATTTTTTAAATTGAAGAATATACTATAGAAGAATATACTGAAGAATATACCAGAATTCAAGCTTATGAGCCAAAAGAAGAAATCGCTCATCAACAAAAAATAATAATTTTAAAAAAATACAAATTTTTATTATTAGTTAAAATGATAATGATCCTTCAAAATTTTAGAACGTTTTCTTAAAGTATAATTCCATTTTTCGGGAAGTTTTTAGTTCTTTGTGCAGAGACTCATACAAAAGCTTTGTAAGTGATGAAGAGTTTTAGTTACCGTGAATTCAAAAATATTCCAGGAATCATTTGACAAAAAAATGCTAATAAAAATTTAAAAACGAAACAAGTTATTAAATACTTATTTTTGTTCTTAAATACACGCTGCAGATTTTCTCAGTTGCTGTTAACTGGATATTGAAGAAAGCATTTGATTTGGCTAGTTTGCTTATCAAGCAATTAAAAATGTTTTTGATTGAAAAAGGAATAATTTTTTTCAATTATTTATTCCCGTTTGAACAAATTAAATTTCAAACATTAAAAATTTTTGTGTACAGACCGCAAGATAAATAGAAATCAGGAAAACTAATAACTTTTGAATTAATGGTCAGATTTTAGCATGCTTAGATGGGATTTAAATATTTTATGAGAATAACTTTAAAATATATTTATAATTTAATATAATTTTAATTATACTTATAAATTAGAAACTTCTTATAAATGATGTTTATAAATCGTACTTTAGTTTTTTTTAAAGATATTTAATTTATTTCATTTTCTATTTCTTATTTTTTATGATTTTTTTAAAAATTAAATAAATATATATCTGAATTTTAGAACGTTAGAATATATATCTAGATTTTATTATCAACTGTATTTGTTTCAATATACTTATTTTCACTATCCCTTTCCAGCATTTTCAACTTTAAGGGTCACATTATTTATTTTGAGCATTGCTATTACATTTAATAATATTACTAATATTATTAAATAGACGCTATTATTACATTTGCGACACTTATAATAATAATGTTTATATAAGTTTAACTAAATAGGAAAATTTTTGCGCAATATCAAACACTTAGCATCTCTTAAGTTGCTGTATTTGAAGAAGTTGTTGCATTTGAAGAAGTTGACAATGGCAGCCTGACTTGTTTGCAAGTGAAAAGTTCGAATTAAAATAAAAGAACTTTCTATGTACTATGATTCAACCATCATGGTTTGGGGAATCCCACTTAATATATGCTAAATAATTATTACAGATGATAATTAAAGTGATGAAATTAGACACACTAAAAAACAATTGTTTCGAAATAAATATAAAAAGGTTTTCCGACAAATCTCTGAGACATGGTGTAAGGGATTAGACTTAATCTGTAAAATATGATCCTTATACTTGAGGCATATTATACTTAATGTAAAAGTCCTTATAACCTTAATCTTTTCTTTTTCTTTTTGCTCATTTCAAATTTCGCTTGGAGCTTTTAAGCAAAAGAAAACTTGTAGAAATGTCTCATCAACTAAAAATAATAATTTTCTAGACATACAAATTTTTTATATTAGATAAAATTATAATGATCTATAAAAATTTTAGAACATTTTCTTAAAATATAATTCTATTTTTCCGCGAGTGTTTCATTCTTTGACCGGAGACTCATACAAAAGCTCTGTAAGTGATACAGAGTTTTGGTTACGGTGAATTCAGGAATATTCGAGGAATTATTTGACAAAAAAAATGCAACTAAAATTGCAAAACGAAACAAGTTATTAAATGCATATTTTGTTCTTAATTACGCGATACAGATTATCTCAGTTGCTGTTAAGTGGATATTAAGGAAAGCGTTCGATTTGCCTCGTTTGTTTATCAAATAGTTTTAAAAAAAATTTCATTGAGGAAGGAATAATTTAATTTCAATTATTTATTCCCATTTGAACAGATTAAATTTCAAACAATAAGAATTTTTGTGCTCAGAGCACAAGAAATAAATTAGGAAAACTAATAACTTTTGAACTAACTTTTAGCATACTTAGATGTGATTTAAATATTTTATGAGATTAGCGTTAAATATACTTATAAATTAGTGCAGATGATATTTGAAAATCTTACTTAAAATCATACTTTAATTTTTTAAAGATGTTTAATTTATTTCATTTTCTATTTTTTATTTTTCATGATTTTTTTTAGTTTAAATAAATATAAATCAAAATTATTATTATCAACTGTATTTGTTTAAATATATTTATTTTCACTATCCCTTTTCAGCATTTTTAAATGTAAGGGTTACTTTATTTATTTTGAGCATTGCTATTACATTTATAATATTACTAAAATTATTAAATGAACACTAATATTACATTTGTAACACTTATAAAAATAATGTTTTTTTAAGTTTAACAATATAAAAAATTGTTGCGCAATATCAAACACTTCGCATCTCTGAAGTCGCTTTATTTGAAGAAGTTGCTGCATTTGAAGAAGTTAACAATGGCAGCCTGACTTGTTTGCAAGTGAAAAGTACGAAAAAAGATTTTCGGAATTCAGCACACATAGCAACGTATATTATGGGATTGATCACATTTGATAAGTTGATTCCCAACTGGGATAGAAATGTAAGTGCAGGAATTTCATCTGCACTGTCCCAAAGAAGAGTTAACACCATCGGAGAATAACAAATCAGGAAAGCAACAAAGATGGCTAGCATCACTTTCAGGATTCTCATTTCTGTATCGTCAACGCGATGTGGAAAATCACCTCTTTGACTCTCTATTGAAGTTGTTGTGGCATTTAATTCTTCAGGCGTAGCAGATAAATTGCAATGCTTTCTAACTTGTTGAGATGTCTTATGAGTAATCCAAAAAATTCTAGAATAGCAAATTGCAAGTACCGTGAGTGGAAGTGCAAAGTAGGATATAAAAAGGAAAGTTGAAACTGTTATTCCATTTCGTTCTAAAAGGATACAGAGTCCGCTGTTAGGATCGTAACTATATTTTCCTACAACTCCAAAGAATGGTAAAATTGACATAATAAAAGAATACATCCACGTTAAAGCTAACTGTAATACTAAATATTTTTTTCTGTATATCAAACGATAATACTTTGGGTAAATTACGCAGATATATCGATTAATCGTAATTCCAATCATTAAATACATCGATTCGGCACCAACGCAGTATTTTGCCCATGTTATCAAAATGCAAAAAACGTGGTTCCTGTTCCAATCGGGTCTGCTTAAATTTATTAGGGTGAAAAGACAAAAAAGCAAATCGGCAGAGCATAAAGTTATAATAAATACAATGGTTGGGCTTCGAAACTTCCTCAAGGCGAGAATCGACACTGAATTCCCAAATATTCCGACAGACGAAATTATGAGAAACACTACTTGAGCAATTCTGAATTTTTCCTGCTTATCAGATCTATCTTGTTCTTGGTTCATGTCCAAAGTATCATTATCCAATGAATTGTTTCGGAAGGGGAAAAAGATGTCTTGAAATGAGGTATTCATTTCCTTTTGAATAAACCTAAAATTTACATAAATTTTATATAAGAATCCTATTGCAGAAAAATCTGGACAATTAATAATTTTAACTACAAAAACTGTGTCCATATTCTTAACACGCAATTTAAATGTAATAACACATTATTGTGGTTGATTAATTGGCTGCTCATTGTAAAGTATCAATATTCGGCTTTTCAGACATTTCGTCGGTACGTTTCGCTTTCGATGGTATGTTCTATGCGAAAAATTTTTCAAATTGAGGAAAACACTATCTTCCAGAATTCAAAAATATGTTGGAGAATCAAATGTTGGAGAATCGCGCAATATTTCATAATGAAAGAATAGAGAGCTACTATGTCGATTTTTTTACGTTAATCTATAATTTTTCAACGCATAATTTACTTGAAAAAATAAAATACTGTAATATTGGCTAAAATTTACAGTTATATTTACATGGAAGGATAAAAACATCACATACTACTACAGTGTCATGAGGAGGTGCAAGAATAAAAGAAAATTCATGAAATAAATGAGATTTTTAAAATGATTCATTCTTTTCTGACGAAATCATTAAATAATAATGTAATAACGCTCGCGCATAGCTAAATCATCTTAAGAGCGAAATTCATTTCAGAAAATTTAAATGTAGACATAACGCTTTAAATTGTAGTACTTGATACATTTACCATTCTTATGGCCAAATTCTATTTCAGAAAATTTAAATATAGAGATAACGCTTTAAATTGTAGTACTTGATAAATTTACCATTCTTATCATTAACTTTAGCAAAGAAAAAGCAACAAAATATATAATAAGTTGGCGTAAATAAAAGGTTTTCAAGTTCTGAGGAGTTTTAACGAAATAAAGAAATCTGCTTCATGTTTTCAATGCTCAATGCTTCGAGTTACATTTCTTAAAGTTGCTTTCGTAACATTAATTGCTACTGCTGCCCGTAAGCTATTCCAAAGGATTGGTAAACGGCAACCATAAAGCCATTTAAAAATCTTAATGTCTTCTTTTGTAATGGCTGAATTAAAAAATTCATCCACTATAAAAACGCATCTAAATATAATATTTTCAACTTTACTTATGTTACAAGAGCAAAATTTTTCAATTAAACTAGTAAGTAAAATTTGTACTTAGTATTAAAAAAGTAGAATTTGTTCATAACATTAAAGTAGTGAAACCTTCATATTATATCAGTTTAGTAAAGTTTTTACAGAACACAAAATAAAAACGTTACATTCCACATAAATAGTATAAAAATTTTTTGATTTCCACTAATATTACAAGTAAAGGTTTTGACATAATAAAAGAACTTTCTATGTGCTATGATTCAACCATCATGGTTTGGGGAATCCCACTTAATATATGCTAAATAATTATTACAGATGATAATTAAAGTGATGAAATTAGACACGCACAAAAACAATTGTTTCGGAATAAATATAAAAAAGTTTTCCGACAAATCTCTGAGACATGGTGTAAGGGATTAGACTTAATATGTAAAATATGATCCGTATACTTGAGGCATTTTATACTTAATGTAAAAATCCTTATAACCTTAATCTTTTTTTTTCTTTTTGCTCATTTCAAATTTCGCGTGGAGCTTTTTAGCAAAAGAAAACTTGTAGAAATTGCTCATCTACTAAAAATAATAATTTTCAAGACATACAAATTTTTTATATTAGTTAAAACTATAATGATCTATAAAACTTTTAGAACGTTTTCCTAAAATATAATTCTATTTTTCCGCGAGTGTTTCATTCTTTGACCGGAAACTCATACAAAAGTTCTGTGGTGATAAAGAGTTTCGTTTACCATGAATTCAGAAATATTCGAGGAATCATTTGACAAAAAAAAATGCTAATAAAATTACGAAACGAAACAGACTATTAAATACATATTTTTGTTCCTTATTATGCGCTTCAGATTTTCTCAGTTGCTGTTAAGTGGATATTGAAGAAAGCATTTGATTTGGCTCGTTTGTTTATCAAATAGTTTAAAAAAAAATTTATTGAGGAGGAAATAATTTATTTTCAATTATTTATTCTCATTTGAACAGATTAAATTCAAAACAATAAGAATTTTTGTGTTCAGAGCACAAGATATAAATTAGGAAAACTAATAACTTTTGAACTAATGGTCAGATTTTAGCATACTTAGAAGTCATGGTTTGGAGTATCCCAACTAATATATGCTAAATAGTTATTACAAATGATAATTAAAGTGATGAAATTAGACACACGCAAAACAAAATAGTTATGAAATAAATATAAAAGGTTTTCCGATATATCTCTGAGACATGGGGGAAAGTATAAGACTCAATCTGAAAGATATGATCCTTATACTTGAGACATATTATACATAATATAAAAGTCCTTATGACCTTAATCTTTTTTTTTTTCTTTCTGCTCATTTCAAATTTCACTTAGAGTTTTCAAGCAATTGAAAACTATTCAATTTTAAACGAAAAGAATTTTCGTGTTTAGAGCACATGATATAAATTAGGAAAACTAATAACTTTTGAACTAATGGTCTGATTTTAGCATTCTTAGAAGTGATTTAAATATTTTAGGAGATTAGCTGTAATTATACTTATAAATTAGTGCAGATGATATTTGAAAATCTTACCTAAAATCATACTTAAATTTTTTAAAGATGTTTAATTTATTTCATTTTCTATTTTTTTTATTTTTTATGATTTTTTTAAGTTTAAATAAATATATATCAAAATCATTATTATCAACTGTATTTGTTTAAATATATTTATTTTCACTATCCGGTAAATTACGCAGATATATCGATTAATCGTAATTCCANAGTTTAAATAAATATATATCAAAATCATTATTATCAACTGTATTTGTTTAAATATATTTATTTTCACTATCCCTTTCCAGCATTTTTCAATGTAAGGGTCACATTATTTATTTTGAGCATTGCTATTACATTTATAATATTACTAAAATTATTAAATGGACACTAATATTACATTTGTTACACTTATAAAAATAATGTTTATATAAGTTTAACAATATAAAAAATTGTTGCGCAATATCAGACACTTCGCATCTCTGAAGTCGCTTTATTTGAAGAAGTTGCTGCATTTGAAGAAGCTGACAATGGCAGCCTGACTTGTTTGCAAGTGAAAAGTTCGAAACATGATTTTCGGAATTCAGCACACATAGCAACGTATATTATGGGATTGATCACATTTGATAAGTTGATTCCCAACTGGGATAGAAATGTAAGTGCAGGAATTTTATCTGCACTGTCCCAAAGAAGAGTTAACACCATTGGAGAATAACAAATCAGGAAAGCTACAAAGATGACTAGCGTCACTTTCATGATTCTCATTTCTGTGTCGTTAAAGCGATGTGGAAAATCACCTCTTTGACTCTCTAGTGAAGTTGTTGTGGCATTTAATTTTTCAGGCGTAGCAGATAAATTGCAATGCTTTCTAACTTGTTGAGATGTCTTATGAGTAATCCAAAAAATTCTAGAATAGCAAATTGCAAGAACCGTGAGTGGAAGTGCAAAGTAGGATATAAAAAGGAAAGTTGAAACTGTTATTCCATTTCGTTTTAAAAGGATACAGAGTCCGCTGTTAGGATCGTAATCATATTTTCCTACAACTCCAAATAATGGTAAAATTGACATAATAAAGGAATGCATCCACGTTAAAGCTAAATGAGATGCTAAGAATTTCATTCTGTATATCGAACGATAATAGTTTGGGTAAATTACACATATATATCGATTAATCGTAATTCCAATCATTAAATACATCGATTCTCCACCAACGAAGTATTTTGCCCATGTTATCAAAATGCAAAAAACGTGGTTCCTGTTCCAATCGGGTCTGCTTAAATTTATTAGGGTGAAAAGACAAAAAAGCAAATCGGCAGTGCATAAAGTTATAATAAATGCAATGGTTGGGCTTCGATGCTTCTTCAAGGCAAGAATCGACACTAAATTCCCAAATATTCCGAGAGACGAAATTATGAGAAAAACAACTTGAGCAATTCTGAATTTTTCCTGCTTATCAGATCTATCTAGTTCTTGGTTCATGTCCAAAGTATCATTATCCAATGAATTGTTTTGGAAGGGGAAAAAGATGTCTTGAAATGAGGTATTCATTTCCTTTTGAATAAACCTAAAATTTACATAAATTTTATATAAGAATCCTATTGCAGAAAAATCTGGATAATTAATAATTTTAACTACATAAACTGTGTCCATATTCTTAACACGCAATTTAAATGTAATAACACATTATTGTGGTTGATTAATTGGCTGCTCATTGTAAAGTATCAATATTCGGCTTTAAAACATTTCGTCGGTACGTATCGCTTTCGATGGTATGTTCTACGCGAAAAATTTTTCAAATTGAGGAAAACACTATCTTCTAGAATTCAAAAATATGTTGGAGAATCAAATGTTGGAGAATCGGGCAATATTTCATGATGAAAAAATAGAGAACTAATATGTCGATTTTTGACGTTAATCTACAATTTTTTCTCGCATAATTTACTTGAAAAAATTAAATACTGTAATATAGGCTAAAATTTACAGTTATATTTACATGACAGGATAAAAACATCACATACTACTTCAGTGTCATGAGGGGATGCAAGAATAAAAGAAAATTCATGAAATATAAGAGATTTTTAAAATGATTCATACTTTTCTGACGAAATCATTAAATAATAATGTAATAACGCTCGCGCATAGCTACATTATCTTAAGAGCGAAATCCATTTCAGAAAATTTAAATGTAGACATAGCGCTTTAAATTGTAGTACTTGATACATTTACCATTCTTAAGGCCAAATTCTATTTCAGAAAATTTAAATATAGAGATAACGCTTTAAATTGTAGTACTTGATAAATTTACCATTCTTATCATTAACTTTAACAAAGAAAAAGCAACAAAATAAATAATAAGTTGGCGTAAATAAAAGGTTTTCAAGTTCTGAGGAGTTTTAAATCTGCTTCATGTTTTCAATGCTCAATGTTTCGAGTTACATTTCTTAAAGTTGCTTTCGTAACATTAATTGCTACTGCTACCCGTAAGCTATTCCAAAGGATTGGTAAACGGCAACCATCAAGCCATTTAAAAATCTTAATGTCTTCTTTTGTAATGGCTGAATTAAAAACATCATCCACTATAAAAACGCATCTAAAAATAATATTTTCAACTTTACTTATGTTAGAAGAGCAAAATTTGTCAATTAAACTAGTAAGTAAAATTTGTACATAGTATTACAAAAGTAGAATTTGTTCATAACATTAAAGTAGTGAAACCTTCATATTATATTAGTTTACTAAAGTTTTTACAGAACACAAAATAAAAACGTTACATTCCACATAAATAGTATAAAAAAATTTTGATTTCCACTAATATTACAAGCAAAGGTTTTGACATAATAAAAGAACTTTCTATGTACTATGATTCAACCATCATGGTTTTGGGAATCCTACTTAATATATGCTAAATAATTATTACAGATGATAATTAAAGTGATGAAATTAGACACGCACAAAAACAATTGTTTCGAAATAAATATAAAAAAGTTTTCCGACAAATCTCTGAGACATGGTGTAAGGGATCAGACTTAATATGTAAAATATGATCCGTATACTTGAGGCATATTATACTTAATGTAAAAATCCTTATAACCTTAATCTTTTTTTTTCTTTTTGCTCATTTCAAATTTCGCTTGGAGCTTTTTAGCAAAACAAAACTTGTAGAAATTGCTCATCTACTAAAAATAATAATTTTCAAGACATACAAATTTTTTATATTAGTTAAAACTATAATGATCTATAAAAATTTTAGAACGTTTACTTAAAATATAATTCTATTTTTCAGCGAGTGTTTGATTATTTGACCGGAAATTCATACAAAAGTTCTGTGGTGATAAAGAGTTTCGTTTACCATGAATTCGGAAATATTCGAGGAATCATTTGACAAAAAATGCTAATAAAATTACAAAACGAAACAGACTATTAAATACATATTTTTGTTCTTTATTAAGCGCTTCAGATTTTCTCAGTTGCTGTTAAGTGGATATTGAAGAAAGCATTTGATTTGTCTCGTTTGTTTATCAAATAGTTTAAAAAAAATTTTATTGTTGAAGAAATAATTTATTTTCAATTATTTATTCCCATTTGAGCAGATTAAATTCAAAACAATAAGAATTTTTGTGTTCAGATCACAAGATATAAATTAGGAAAACTAATAACTTATGAACTAATCGTCAGATTTTAGCATACTTAGAAGTCATGGTTTGGAGTATCCCACCTAATATATGCTAAATAATTATTACAAATGATAATTAAAGTGATGAAATTAGACACACACAAAAAAAATTGTTTCGAAATAAATATAAAAGGTTTTCCGATATATCTCTGAGACATGGGGGAAAGTATTAGACTCAATCTGAAAGATATGATACTTATACTTGAGGCATATTATACATAATGTAAAAGTCCTTATGACCTTAATCTTTTTTTTTCTTTTTGCTCATTTCAAATTTCACTTTGAGTTTTCAAGCAATTGAAAACTATTCAATTTTAAACGAAAAGAATTTTCGTGTTTAGAACACATAATATAAATTAGGAAAACTAATAACTTTTGAACTAATGGTCTGATTTTAGCATACTTAGAAGTGATTTAAATATTTTAGGAGATTAGCTGTAATTATACTTATAAATTAGATCAGATGATATTTGAAAATCTTACTTAAAATCATACTTTAATTTTTTAAAGATGTTTAATTTATTTCATTTTCTATTTTCTTTATTTTTTATGATTTTTTTAAGTTTAAATAAATATATATCAAAATCATTATTATCAACTGTATTTGTTTAAATATATTTATTTTCACTATCCCTTTCCAGCATTTTTCAATGTAAGGGTCACATTATTTATTTTGAGCATTGCTATTACATTTATAATATTACTAAAATTATTAAATGGACACTAATATTACATTTGTTACACTTATAAAAATAATGTTTATATAAGTTTAACAATATAAAAAAATGTTGCGTAATATCAAAGACTTTGCATCTCTGAAGTCGCTTTATTTGAAGAAGTTGCTGCATTTGAAGAAGTTGACAATGGCAGCCTGACTTGTTTGCAAGTGAAAAGTTCGAAACATGATTTTCGGAATTCTGCACACATAGCAACGTATATTATGGGATTGATCACATTTGATAAGTTGATTCCCAACTGGGATAGAAATGTAAGTGCAGGAATTTTATCGGCACTGTCCCAAAGAAGAGTTAACACCATTGGAGAATAACAAATCAGGAAAGCAACAAAGATGGCTAGCATCACTTTCAGGATTCTCATTTCTGTATCGTCAACGCGTTGTGGAAATTCACCTCTTTGACTCTCTATTGAAGTTTTTGTGGCATTTAATTCTTCAGGAGTAGCAAATAAATTGCAATGCTTTCTTACTTGTTGAGATGCCTTATGAGTAATCCAAAAAATTCTAGAATAGCAAACTGCGAGAACCGTGATTGGAAGTGCAAAGAAGGATATAGAAAGGAAAGCTGAAACTGTTATTCCATTTCGTTTTAAAAGGATACAAAGTCCGCTGTTAGGATCGTAACCATATTTTCCTACAACTCCAAAGAATGGTAAAATTGACATGCTAAGAGAAAACATCCACGTTAAAGCTAATTGAAATGCTAAGAATTTCTTTCTGTATATCGAACGATAATGGTTTGGGTAAATTACACAGATATATCGATTAATCGTAATTCCAATCATTAAATACATTGATTCTCCACCAACGCAGTATTTTGCCCATGTTATCAAAATGCAAAAAACGTGGTTCCTGTTCCAATCGGGTCTGCTTAAATTTATTAGGGTGAAAAGACAAAAAAGCAAATCGGCAACGCATAAAGTTATAATAAATGCAATGGTTGGGCTTCGAAGTTTCCTTAAGGCAAGAATTGATACTGAATTACCAAATATTCCGACAGACGAAATTATGAGAAAAACAACTTGAGCAATTCTGAATTTTTCCTGCTTATCAGATCTATCTTGTTCTTGGTTCATGTCCAAAGTATCATTATCCAATGAATTGTTTCGGAAACGGAAAAAGATGTCTTGAAATGAGGTATTCATTTCCTTTTGAATAAACCTAAAATTTATATAAATTTTATATAAGAATCCTATTGGTGAAAAATCTGGATAATTAATAATTTTAACTACATAAACTGCGTCCATATTCTTAACACACAATTTAAATGTAATAACACATTACTGTGGTTGATTAATTAGTTGTTCATTGCAAAGTATCAATATTCGACTTTTAAGACATTTCGTCGGTACGTCGGTATGCTCTATGCGAAAAATTTTTCAAATTGAGGAAAATACTATCTTCTAGAAATCAAGTTTCACCAGTAACAATAGGATTAAAGTAATAGATGCTTAATTAGGAAATAAAAAAAGGAAATAAAAAGAAATAAAAGAAGTAAACTGAATGAGTAGGGGAGAGTGGGGTCAATTGTAACAGGGTACGATTGTAACAGAGCAAAAATTTCGAGTGTCGGGTTTTAGATTTGGTTCTTAGGTGGCGCACAAGGTGTATTTAATAAATCTACATGTACACCCCTGCTGGCAACCATTTCTAGGTACTTTTGAAAGAGTTACATCACAAAAGATATTTTCACGCTACGCAAGTAATTTTTTTGGTATTAGAATATTATATTGCAACAAAGTAATTTTGTTTAAATAAATAAAAATTATTAACCGAATATGTAAGTGGACACCTTAATTAACATTTCAG